GGATTCATGGGCGACTTTGCCAGGGTATCGTCGACTGGCAGCTTGGGCGGCGCCGAGGTCTGAGGAGATGATATCGCCGTGCTGCTATTGCCGCGAGACCGGCGCCTCATGAACTTTTCAATTTCCTTCAGAGACGTCTCAAAATTGGCGCGCCGCTCCTGAATCAGCTTTTGTACAGCTTGATAGAGCGACAGCCCCTGCGCCGCCGAGTTGGTCGTGCCAAAGATCTGCACCGCATCGCCATCGAAAATTGCCACGAGTCGGTCGCCGCTCCCTTCAAGGCTGCGATGCACATTGTACATCAAAAACTCAAGTGAAGTAATGTCCGCAACCAGGAACGCCTGGTAGTCAAAGGCAGCCTTGACACGGAATTGACTGAAGCCGATGGAAGCCTGGATCATGGGCGTCTCATTGAGTGCTGCCTCACGCTCAGGCCACTGGATCGAAGTGCGGAGCTTGAAGTTCTGCAGTTCAACAAAGCCGCTGAGCCTGCCAGTGCAGTCGATTCCTACCTTGTCGATCCCGAGACAGAGGTTTTGCTCCCAGTCTGACGTCTTCTTCGAGGACACCCAGAAGTTGTTGATCTTGAAGGCAGACTTTCCTATTGCCTGACCGAGGTCGACACTGACGTCCAGGGACGTGATAGATATCGTGGCCGTCCATGGGAAGGCGGCTGTCGCAGCTACCTGCTGGTAGCGCTGGACAAGGTGTCCCTGAGATGTCTCGGTAGTCAGCTTGGCCACTGGCGCAGCGGACCCCTGGCGGAGCTCTTTGGGGTACCAGATTTCGCGGAAGAGTAAGAAGTCCTGAAGCTGCTTGGCGTTGATCGACATGTTCATCGGGCTAACTTTGAGAATGGCGGAAACTCCGCTCGTGCCGCTGACATGCTTGCTGTTCATAAAGGAAAGCACAATGGACTCAACCTCAAAGCTAGCCGTCGATTCTCTGGAATAAACATGTTGGACAGACACTGTCAGGTTGGTGAAGGCGCCAGATATGGCGAAAAAGTTGCCTTGCTCCACAGATCGTACTGTATTTGCGGTGAAGTAAATGTCATCGAAGCAAGCGGTGGCGGCCACGCGGGCGATAGGCTGACAACTGAGTGAAAATTCTTGGCGACAGATGCGAAGGCCAAGATTCAACTTCAGACGACCCAGAACAGCATTGGGGTCGGCTGTCAGAATGTTATCCTCGTTGCTGACCTCTGCTTTGAGCTGTGGTAGTGACGTCTGCGCGCTTGGTCTCGTGTCGTCCCCGACAACTTCCTTCACACTCGACATGATTTCCATGATGAGGGGCACGACGGAAGGGTACAGGGTGTTGCTCGACGCATCGACCTTGATCTCTCCGTAGAGTGCGGGATCTTCTTGGTCGTTGTCTCTGTATTCGATCTTGCAAGCCACGCCAGGGCTTCGAAGAACAGTACTGCTCCCCGATTCGTCAGGGTTGAATTGTCCGTATTTTCCGCCCGCCGCAGACTGGCGTAGAATTCTTGAGGTTCGGTTTCCCCCCGCTGCTTTCTTGCCCGAAACGTGGACGACGGCACCGGCAAAGTCAGCATCGACGAGCAGAGATTCGAATCCTTTCTTGCCGAGAATGCCAGCCGGCCGCAGTGTGGGGGTTTCGATTCGCGGCGCTCCTCGCTTTTCCTCATCAGGCTTGGCATGATTTGTGCTCATGATCCAGTCCTCGGATGCCTTTTGCACGTTGCTGATGGACAAAGTAATCGAATCTTTCAAGTTGGCCACCGGAATGATGAAACCAGATGTGAGGCGCAAATCAAGGGACTTGCCAACCGCTTGACATGCCAGACGCCGCGCAGTAGGTGTGGAAACATAGGCAATGTTGAAGACCACTTCAGGAAGAAGTGCAGAGTGTCGAGAGCGCATCCGTGGGTCCTGGCCAGGTGGGACCATCTGAAGTTGAAAGTCTTCGATCGTGAGGCGTGCCGAGTTGGCTTGGCGCGTGCCGAAACTGATGAGCTTGATTGATAGAATAAGATCCTCTTTGTCGAGGGAAGGCATCTCCACGGCGTCGCCAACGAACCAGCTGATTTGGGTGTCCTGAATCTCGAACTGATAGACCAGCGATGACAAGAAAGAATCGATCAGGTCAGGGGGCTCAGCCTGTTCCTCGTCGTTGAGAGCAATACGCGGTTTAGGCTGTCGAATCCTGCGTAGGTACTCGAGTTCGCGTGAGGTGTCCAGGTCTTTGATCTTGCCGCCCATGTAACCTAGAATCTCCATTACTGTCGAGATTGTCTCTGGTGACAGTTGAATGTCCAATCCATCGCTTTTGAAGTTGAATGATCTCTCCTCCTCGCCGGCATCAGTATGTCGTGTGCTTGCCGATATGAGAGCCCCAAATGTGATGCTACCGCAAGATCTCATTGCGCCCTCGCTACCCTTTTGAATGTCAAACATGATTGACCTTAGATTGACGTGGAGTTCCGGTTGCGCAAGAATCGGACGGTGTGCATCGTGTCTATTGGCCACTTCCAAGTGCACTCTGTCAAGACTGAAGCATAGGTATGCTAGATCATGTTCTCCGGACTTGAGAGGCGTATTGCCGAAGATTTCGAGACCTGCCAAGGTTGCATGAACCGTGTAGACCAGTTTCTGCTCTTGAGTTGGAGGAGATGAGACTTGAGGTTCTTTCACAAGCTTTTCTTGCCCAAAAATATCCGTCGCGTGCTCCTGTATGGATTTGATTTGTTCTTGCGCCTCATTCAGGGTATTGGATATTTGAGGACGGTTGAGGGCACCGAGAAGGCTATAGACGGCAGATGCATCGAGCTGTATCAGCTCAACGGAGGCGAACACCGTTACAGAATGCTCGGTTGGACCCATGCGACTCTTGACTCGTCCGTTTGTTGGCGGAATACGAAGAAGCGAGATGCTTCGCGGCTGATTGTTGACATTGACTCGGAAGTCATGTTGATTTTCCTTGATGTCAAAGTCAAAGATGAGCTCCTTGCCGAAATTCGCCGCTATAGCAGCCCGAGAAACAACTCCTGACAAATTATACGTGAGGGACTGGAGTAGTGGCACGCTGATGTCATACTCGTCAAGGAACATTGCCACATTGACTCTGAAGGATGACATTCTTTCCGCAATGCTGTGGTCGTCGCTGTGTGTCGGCGGGCTAGATGGAAGCTGCTCTTTCAATTGGTAAAGCTGGGCAAGCTCATCTTTGACCAAAACATCGACGACTTCGAGGAGAACTATTGGGTCTTGCCGCACCACAAGGGTGAGGGACTGGCTGCTTGCTGTTGACTTAATCGTGTGACAGGACACATCGTCAAGCTCTTGCAATTCATGGGAGATGAAGACACTCGGGTTGCGTAGCTGGAACATGCCCAGCAGCTGGGAGCGGTGGTGGAGCCTGGAGGTGACAGCGTCACAGCTCAGTATGAAATTCAGCGAGGTGCTTTCATCTTCGAGCGAATGGGTGAGCAAGGACGCCTTGAGATTGTTTCCCAAGATTTTTGCACTCAGGTTTATCGTATCAACTTCGACTGACCCCCTCGAGAGAGCCATGACAACATGCATCGGTTGGCGAGCCTGCACGTCACTCGTGCGGTCCGGTGCTGCTTCCGTGGAAGTCTGACCTGCAGAACTGTCTCGCCGCCTAGATCCGTTGTACAGCCGGAGTAGAACATCTGCGAGCTCGCATAGTTCCCAGTTGAGGTTGATTGCCGCATCGTTGCAGTTGATATTGAGGACAGCCATGTCTTCGGTTTCAGTCGTCTTGCGAGCTGTGTCATTTGGCTTCTTCTCAAGTCTCGCAGTCAGCTCTGAGACGAACAGCCTGTTTTGTTTCGGGCCAGGATCCAGAATCAGTTGGACTTCTCTGAGCCGGAAAGCAACCAGCAAGGGCACCATTGGCGGTGTAGTGTTTCCAGGGTCAGGAGCTCCTCCGAAAACGCTGGCGATGAGCTGGGAGCCAGCAATATTGTCCAGATCCCACCCGCGCCAACGTTGAAACGAGCTAATCACCTGCTCCCTCGCATGCGGCGGTACAGTGATGGTACTGCTTAAAGAGTTGTAAAGGAGACGGTCCCGGACTGTGGCAGGGAGCCAGACGTATATCTGACGCAGTCGAACGGCTAACTTCCACGCATCAGCAGTGCGTAGATGGCCAGCCGCGGAGCGCAAAACAGCTGATGGACGGACAAGGAACGTCGGATCAGGCGCTGTCTGCCCCTCCGTCACTAATGTATGTATCAAGAGCTTCATCCGCCGTTCATGGTGAGCTACCGTTTCACTCAGTAATGCACCCAATTCGGAAGCAACTAAACCGGTCCGGTGGACAAGCGACGCAAGGTAGTCGACTTTTCCAGACGCTGTACTGCTTCTGATGGCATCGATTTCCCCGTCGATGTACGTGACATCTTTGGACCCGACGGAAAGCACCACACGATCAACTTCTGCCATGACCGCGGCTTGATCCTCGGCAAGTCCAGGTGAGCGCTCCGCAACTGAAGCCTCGGCAGAGCCGAGTCTCAGCATGATGGACGTCTTTGTCTGCGCTGCCGTTGATCGTCCTTTATCAAGAGACTGCGCTGTTTTCGATGCTGATCGTGATGTCAAAGCAAGTTGCGAAAAGGTGACGTCGTACTGATCACAGGCATTTTTTGCCGCTTCAGGGTCATCATTTTCTGCATTGAGGAAGCGAATGCTTGCTCGCGGAATCTTAAGCAGTACATCTTTGATGTGACCTTTGACCTTGGCCTGTTTCTGTTCGTCGACCAAATTCGTAACGGCATTCATCTGAAGAGAGTCCAAGATGTCCTCTGGGTCCGTCGGCTGTAAAGCTGCAATCAACCCTGAGACGTAGCGCACTGATACTGGGTTCAAGCAGGCCGTGATACCCGAAGGGAGTTCGATAATTGTACTCGAATAGGCGTTGTCGTCACTGAGAACATCAGGATCAACATCATCGAGGCCGAATGTTGTTGCGTCTCCATCTGCCTCAAGGTCTCCCAGGTCAAGACTGGGAGATGGCGATCCGCTTGTCCCTGGTTGAGCATGCTCAAGAGGGAAGTGGGGAGGATAAAACTGGCTGGAAAAAGCCATGGATGAGTGTTGATCTCGACCATTATTGTCTCCTAACATGCCATACAATGACGGTTGACGGCCAGTAGATGCTGAGAGGTCCCTTCGTGATCTGCCGACTGATCCAGAAGGGGTCATGGCTCTACTGTCTCGGAAGGAGTAGTTTGACTTGGGATATCCCGCCGACAGCCGCGTCTTGTCTATGGAGACATTGCTGTCGTTGCTGGTTGCTGTGGATATGGACAAGAACGAGCTTTTGTGGCGAAGGCTCCGGGAATTGTTTGACGGAATCGTGGACGCTCGAGAGCTCGACTGCTCATCATCATGTTCCATCACCGCGGGATCGGGAACGACCGGAGGGGCTGTCGCTGGGGCATCGATGAGATCTGGGACCAGCTCGTCCAGGAGACCCGGCAGAAGAAGAAAATCAGTCCTATGTGTCCGTTGATCCTCTCTTCGGACCAGCTCCTGCTGCATTTTACGCTCCTCAGAGAAATTGAACTTGCGGCCCACGATGGCCACATGAATGGTCGCTTTCAGAAGAGCGTCGGCTTGTAAATTATGTGGGAGCCTTGATCTTTGTCTGGCGGCTGTCTCAGAGTTGACGCAGGATATTTGAAGGTTGGGTATCCGGATATCTGCGCGTTTCGAGTAGTGCGTCCGCGCCCAGTCATTGAATTTGACATCGATAGTCTCAGTAGAAAGCAAGAATGCCGCTTCCTCCACATGAAGCCAAACTCGAACCGACTGGACTGCAACGCGGAGAAACGTGACATCGTACATAACGATGGAGGAATGTGGTATCAAAGCGTTCTCGTCGTCGTCAAACTCAAACCCAAAGACTTGGCCACCGCGCATAAGGGCCGCCAAGAAGTCGGCTGTACATTCGCCTGTTGCAGCTCCAACAGAAAGGTCCCAATTGCAGAGATACGTTGGCTCTGTTGGCGGCAATCCGAAGAGGCGATGACCATAGATTCCTAACCCGTCGATAAAAAGTTGCGTACTAGTTGTAGCACTGATGGGCGTCTCCATTCCCGAATCACTAGTACCTAGTGATAGATTCAGAGGACTCACAGCAAGCTCCAAATCCATGTAATAGTTAGTAAACCGCAGATCAGCAGTGATGCTCGCAGTCTCGACTTGGATGTTCCGTTTTGTAGACCATAGATTTGCGGGTATCAGCAATCGTGTGTCATCGACCCGAACATGGAGGATTACATCAAGGTCATTCGACTTTTTCGGTGGTGGTCGGAGTGCTGCCTCCGCCTCTGGGTCGCGCTCTCTTAGCTGCAATGCCTCTTGGTACTCGTCCAGTGTTTTAAAATGAACGTCGTCTCCAAAGTAGTTATCTTTCAGCTTCAAAGCATATCGGATAATGAAGCCATGTATCGTAGCCGTGGGAGATTGGCCAGAGACGTTTAGAGTGAGCGTGTCTGTGTTAGCAGGCGAGGTGGTTGCATTGTAGGTGTAGCCACCGTTGACTGTCAAATTTTCGCCCTGTCCAACCTCCTTGGAAGTAAGGAATGACGCTTGTGTGTTCCAGGGGGGTACGTGCAGTGCGAGTGAGAAGGACTCCGCTTGGATATCGAATGGGATTGTGTTCTTGCTCGGCCGGTACTTGTCGATTGGAATGCAGACTTGAGATGCGAGAACAGGAGTTGACAGCACGAGATATGCATTGTCGTCCAGATCTGTAGGTTTATTAATGATGTTGCCATCGTTGACGTTCAGGTAGAGTTTGAAATTTCTGAGATCGATGTTCATATTGTAGCGGAAAGGAATGAACACCAGATACTCCGCAGGCGGGCCGCTAGCCCAGTCGTCAACGAGATCAATGAGCAGGAAAATATGATCCCTGAGCAGGAACAACTCCATGTCGTTTGCTGAGACGTTGAAGTGCCAAGACCGTAGAGCATTCCAACTCAACGGAGTCGAAAGATCACAGCGTACTCGCTGTGCCCCTGAACGCCACAGCAACTCGTGATTGACACTACTGGAGAGTTCGGTGCCTGGTAAATCTAGGTCAAGGCCCATCTTGTAGCCATGCGTGCCAGCAAACGAGTCCATCGAATAGGAAATCGTGGCATTCGCAGCAATCTTGAAATCCAGCCAGCCGGCGGGCCGGAGGGGGGCCGCGTCTCCTTTGCTGTTTTTCTTGGCCTTCGCCCTCTGCTTTCTGGTTTGGTGCGGACGATCATCCTTGGTGGACGGCTCTTTACCCTTCCATCGCCAATTCTTGGAAGTCTCTCTGGTCGGTATTCTTAGTGTCAATTCTTCTTCCAGCTCCACATAGAGCTTGAACTGTGTTGAAACACGGAAGGCGCCCGTAGGTAGGGGCTTTGCTGGCGTGGCATCTTTCGATAATCCGGGCAAAAAGACCCGTTGCAAATCTGCTCTACGGCGATCTGCCCATGGCCCGTAGTTGGCAGTGCCACCCTTGAGAGATAGATTGATGCCCCATTCTGGGGATGTAGCGCCATTGATGTTCGAAATGGCATTTCCTTTGTTCATCCGTCGACTGGCCGGTTCGTCGGTGATCCTGGCGGGAGAATCCCAGTATACAGTCAGGGTTGCCTCTGGACTGTCGATCAAAGTTGTCGCTGCCGCATATTCCACGTTCGACCATCGCGTCTTTGAATCCCGATCGTCGTCATCCAAGTAGCGAGCGAGTCCTTGCCACTGGCCAGAAGAGGGAACGTGCGTTGCTGTTGTCCCAGCCGTGGCTCCCGAATCAATGAAAAAGGACTCAACGGATTTGCGCCAGTACGGAACAAGATTTCGAAGCCTTCCGAGGGTACGTCGCTTGTGACGCAAAAGGAAACCGGCCTTGATACAGCGATGGCTACCCTGGGGCTCCTGCTTGCCCTTGCTGGCTCTCACAACTTGGTCTTCTTTGTAGTCCTCGTTGTCTTTCATCTCAATGACGGGACGATCAAATCTCATCTTGAATACTTGCCTATATGGATCAGGGCCTGTGGTGGCAGATGCGTTTACTTCACCTGTCAATGAGTTGGCTTTCACTACCAATATAGCTTTGGTGTTTTCATTCCCAACCACAAGTGCTGCCTTCTGGCAAGTGACGTAGATTGGGAACAATTGCAGCATGGCAGGTAGGTCGGGTTGAGATTCTGCCGACGTCCTCGACCCCGTGTACAAGTCTGAAGAGCTGGAGCGACCGATCGAAGAGTGTTGCTGTGGCCTGTTCCATTCGGGTGAATCTGGTGCACCAGGCGTGCTGGAGGTGTCCCTGGCCCCGTGGTTGCTGACTGGTGCTGGCTGACTCTCATCTCCCAGCTTTTCGGACAACTTGGAGCCTCGATTACGCAAGTTCGCGGTCGTCTCCTCGCTTGACGTCCCTGTTGTTACGGCATCCTCGGGTTTGTTTCCTGTCAGGCCTGCCAGAATACCGTCATACACAGGCGTCCGGTTGTAGACAAACCATTCAAGACCAGCCACTGTGACGGTAATACGACAAGGTAGCTCCTTCTTATTTTCCCGCTTTTTGGGAGACTCGCTTCCCAGTTGATGATTGTCCCTCTTAGAGTCTTTTATGTCCACGTCCCTGACACGGCGCAGCCAGTATCTCCAAGTGATATAGCCGTGCTGTATGTGAAAGGCCTCGTTGTTTCCATGGTATTTGAGACCGGTGAAGAAAATGCGGCCGCCGAGGAGTGATATTTGTAACGCCTGGATATCAATGTGTATTCGGTGTTTGTGCCATGACCAAGCCCTGATACCCTTGGATATAAACCAGCTGAACACTCTGTTGAAGTAAAGGAGGAAGAAGATGGCTCTGGTGCCATGTCAGCGCTGATTACGGTTCTGATTCGTGGCGCAAAGGAGTCCATACAATACACTAGCTAGAATGATGAATCCGAGAAAGGCGCTACGGGCGACTTGTCAGCACTGGCTCGTTGTCGCGATGTAGCCGCGAACATACCCATTGAAGCGTGGCAAAGTTTCGGGGATGCGGTTGAAGTCGTTTGGAGAGTCGGCGTCGGCCATCTTTATGTACACGCTGCGTGTCACGCAACAGCACAGCTTAATAGACCTTCAGCTCACTACCCGCGTCGTTCAGTCGGCTCGTGCAGTCCTCCCGTCTGCCATTGCTCGGAGAGTCGGCCGATTCGGATGCTGGCTCTGGAACTAGAGTGGGTGTGGTCCGTTGTTTCTCAGGACAACGTGTATCCATTGACATTGAAATTCGCGTGGTCGGGGTGCATTTCGGGTTTCTGTCAGTGGACGCTGCTTCTGGTGTTCGTTCGAATGTTCTCCATGAAGATGTTGTCGATCGCTTCAACACAACGCCTTGACTGAGCCACGAGCCACGAGCCACTCGGAACAGACACGACCTTGGACGTCCAGAGTGCTGGGATGACGCGCTGGGCATCGGATACCACGCTAACGACCCCCGGAGCTTTAGCTCAAGCACCTAAAGGCAGGTACGTGAGATCAGGTACAGTACGTACCTATTTACCCCACGCGACAGGCGCAACCAGTGACCTGTGACTTCAACACAACTAGAAGGGCGCCAGCGCCAGCGCCAGCTCCTAGCTGTCGCAACATCTCGCGGCCATCGTCATCCATCATCACTTGCATCTTATGCTGCTGCCTGCCTCAATGATTTGACCTCCACGCTTCGCCCAAAACCAAGACACAGCCACATTTTTAGTCATCGGAATATTGCCATGACTGAAGGCGCAGAATAACGAGAGACGATACTCGCATCGACACATCCACCTCGCTCGGCTCGGCGTCAAACATGGCTGGTGGTACTGGTCAGAAGCTCACGACTGCGACGACGATAGTCGCAGGCGTCGCAGCTCTGGTTGCCACACTTCTTTCTATTGTGTAAGCTCTATGGCAGTGCTTCCAAGTTTACTCTATGGATCTGTGGCTGACTAGATCGTTGTGCGTAGATCCATCACTCTTCAGGCGTTCGTTCTCTCCCGATACCCCCTCGTTCGAACTTCGATTAACGTCCGAGATATACAGCAAGAATTACCGAAAGCCTCTTCTGCAACGATATGTGGTTCGAATCCTGTTAATGTAGGATTCCTTCCTGCCCCAGCGCGTTTGTCGTGCTCAACTTAACCCGTGAAACAGGGTGCCCATATATTCCATCGCTTCGTGGACAAGCATGATCTCGTTGAAGGCCGCGCAGTTTGTTGATCCCGTTCGCGATATTTATGAGGTACGTCTACACTGCTGCTCCGCGCGTCGCTGCCCATTATCTCATTATTGTGCAAGGCCTTTACGATCTACACCTTCTTTCACCTTCTTATCAACTACCTCGGTGGTGAGCGATCCTTGATTATCATGACCCATGGCCGCGAGCCTGTTAGCCACCTATGGCCCATGAACCATGTCCTTCCTCGCGTCGATATTTCGGACCCTCACACCTTCCTGGCTATCAAGCGCGGAATCTTGCAATACGCCTGGCTGAAGCCTGTTCTCAGCGTCGCTTCGATCATCATGAAAGCCACCGGCACATACCAAGAGGGCTATATCGGTCTTTCCTCCGGCTATCTCTGGAGTGGCATCGTCTACAATGTCAGCGTGACTCTGAGTCTATACTCACTGGGTCTGTTTTGGGTCTGCATGCACCAGGATCTGTTGCCGTTCCGCCCTGTGCCTAAGTTTCTCTGCATCAAGCTCATCATCTTCGCGTCGTATTGGCAGGGGTTTCTGCTGTCCATTCTGGTGTGGCTGGGTGCTATCCCTGACAGCGTTGAGGGCTACACTCCCGACAACCTTGCGGCCGCCATACAGGACGCTCTGATCTGCATCGAAATGCCGGTATTCGCTGTCGCGCATTGGTATGCATTTTCGTGGCATGACTTTGCTGACCGAAATGTTCTCGCCGCACGCATGCCCGTCAAATTTGCCTTTCGTGACGCCTTCGGCATCAGGGATCTCATCGAGGATACGAAGCAGACCTTCTCGGGTGACCAGTACAACTATCGCATATACGATTCAGGTGACAAGATCATGCCCCACGAGGAGTCGCGTGCCAGGCTTGGGAGGCTGAAGGAGGGCATGCGGTACCAGCGCGGTGGCAAGGGCAAGTACTGGATTCCGACACCCGGTCAGGTCGACCGACAGGTCAACCATGACCTCAATGAGCGCGATCCCCTCCTAGCTGGCACTGCTGGAGGGCCAAGCGAGGAGTACAATTTCGAAAATGGCACCTTCCATGACATTGATGAGGAGAACAAAGATCCCGAAGAAGAGGAGCTCTACGCCAAAGCAAGAGAGCTCGAATATGGGGATTGGAATGTAGGTAATTGGTGAACCCTCACGCAAGATGCCTTCTGACAGACACAGTACCCCGTCATCACTGCCCATGAACCGCTGCGCGAGCGTTACGCTCGAGCTCCAGACGGCAACTACCGCTACCAGCCCTCCAGGCCGCAGGGCACGCGTGCATACTCACAGAACAGCCACCAGTCTAGCGAGCCATCCGTCGTCAGCAGCAGGCCGAAGAAGCAGAAACAGAAGCAGAAGCAGAAACGCATTCCCGCTCCGAAGCTCTCTGGACAGGGTCTTGTCCCCGATCACTCCTCTCCAACCGCTGGCCCGGCAGCGACCTCCTCGAATGTTTCAACGCCCAGGGTTCAGTCGCCCAAGCCAGTTCATGCGACAGCCGCCGAGAGCGAAAGCGCTGAGACGCTTGCTTCTTCCAAGACCAAAGACGACAGGAAGAAGCCGGCAGCTACCCCCCAGAAGCAGGCCGCGCCCCACGAGTCCTCGCCGTGGGCGAATAAGGACGAATCGGAGGACGAACCAGATCTACGCTTCCGCGTCGGCGATGAGGAGGAGTTCCGTAACGTGTGGGATGGAGGCGACCAGCGCGATCACAGTTAGCCTGCGTACATCTTGAGCTTTACACACAGTTAGTTTTGGTCACTATACACAGCGAATGCCGGGTCAGCATAGCGAATAGGCGTTTAGGTTGCCTTTCTCATTCTACGTATCATCAATCATTGCTGGTATTGATATCGCTTGCTATTGCTACATATTCTTGGGAGAAATCGCTTGTGTGCTTGAAGTCTGATCTACTCGCGTACCACATCTCTGTAGGGCTCGCCTGGCTCTGGTGATGACGATCCGGTGCTCGACCGTTCACTGAGCTCTTGCTCTCCTTGCTGTAAAAGAGGTCGCTGCTGGAAAAGTCGCTCGATCACCCGCGGGCGGGAAGCTGTCCCCAGGACGTCATCGACAAAACTTCCCATCGTCTGGGCGGTATGCTTCTTCCTGCGAGCAAGAAGCCACATGCCAAGAAGAACGATACCACTCAAAATTGTCAGGCCGGTTACGCTAGCACCGATGGCGATGTATATGGCCCTGAGCTCCGTGTCGTCCTGTCCCTCGCTCGATGGTGGTGGTAGTGGACCTTGTCCGACATGTTTGTCTGGAAACTCTACAGGCGGCAGGGGCCTGTATCCTTCACTTGCGGGCGTGGGTGGTAGAGGGCCAGTCGCCCATTCTTTCGCTTCGCGGCCGAGCTCGAACTCCATCGTGCCCCCTTCGGCAAAGACGTCACCCCATGTGACCCAGCTGCGGGTCCATGGTTTTCCGTTGACTTTGAGGGATTGAACGTGCCAAGATTTGTTCGCCTCATCAACACCCGTCGCTATGATTTGCAGCGTCTTGCCCTCGCCGAGATGGATGGTGAGATCGGAGAACCAGGGGGCGACAATGAGGAACGTGGTCTGGCCGGTCAAAGGGTACATGCCCAGCATACTCCAAAGAAGCCACGACTCCATTGCGCCCGCATCTGAATTTCCGGGCAGACCGTCGGGAGTGGGCTTGAAGTACTTGCGGGCGATGAAACGGCTCCTTTCGATGGACAGGTCCGACCTGCCCGCAAAGTTGTACAGATAGGGGGTGCCGAAGCTTGGTTCGTTGCCAGGATTAAATATGGTGTGCCCAAATTGGTCGTTGCCTGCGTACTGACCCGGCTCGAACGTCATGTCGAGGCGGTCGCGGAACGTGTCGTTTCCGCCTGCGAGATCAATGAGGTGGGACAAATCGTGATGTGCGTTGAACGAATACTCCCAGGAGAGGCCTTGATAGAGCAGATCTCCCCAGTAGCAGCCGCCGCAGTCCAGAGGGTCGTGATGGAGCCATGCGCCGCTGTTCTCGTCACGCGGACCCAGGAACCCACGAAAGCCCAGTGCCTCGAGATTAGGATTCCATTGATTGCGCCAGTTGCGGGAGCGGTTGAGATATTTCTCCGCCTCTTCCATCTTGCCTAGTCCAGCGGCAACTTGGTGTAGAGCAAAGTCATTGACTGAGTACTCGACGGCACGCGTCAGTGAACGAGTGAACCTCGGGGTGATGTATCCACGCTCTAGCCAGTCGGGTAGCGCGCCCCGACCTTCTTTTGTCGAGCCAAAAGGGTCTCGAGGATCGTCGTTGTTGTCAGGGGTCACTTCGGCGTTTTTCACCATAGCCGCAAAGCCGTCTTCCCAGTTGACCTTGCCCCTGACACCCTTTACGTAGGCATCGGCCAGCACGTTATCGCTATTAGATCCGGCTTGCACTGCACCGTTCCAGAATGAGGAGCGTGCATCAGACACGTAGCCCTCGAAGCGGAATATATCGATGAGAGACCGGATAAACTCTTCGTAGGCGGTAGGATGGATGATGTGCATGAGAGAGGTTGTACAACGAAACGTATCCCAAAAGGTAAAAATGTCGTCGTAATAAGGTTCTTCGGATTTCCATAGCGGGTTCTCGCCCGTCTTATTCTGGGGCAAAAGATGCATAAAATAGAGGGCCGTGTAGAGCTGATTCAGTTTCCGTTCGTCTTTGTCGGTAGACGTCACCTTGCCCAGAATCTCGGTGTTCCATACGTCTCGCGTGTTGTTTCTCAATGTCTCAAGACTTGTGCCACTTGGTATCTCGCGGTCGACATTTTCACAAGCTTGCTGTGTAGATATGAAAGACACTCCAACTCGAGAAGTGATGTCGGTGCCATCGAAAGCAAAGATGGCACCAAGCCGCCCCTCGGAGGATGTGATCGTGGCATTGTCGCTTCCGAACATCATGATCTCGTCTGACTTGCGGTCTTTGCTGAGAAACGTCTTCCAAGTCGCCTGGCTATCAAAGTAACCACAGAAATAGACGCTCCAGGGTGCTGCCCGGTTCCAGCCCTGGAAATTTCATCAACCTTGTCCTCAAAACACATCGGCAGAACCGGACTCACATTGTCATATGTTCCATGCCCGGTATATCTGGTTTTCATGTTGTCATCCTGCTCTACGGTGATGCTCCCGCCCAGGTAGTTCTGCCCGAGACCCTGACCCCGATATGACGGCAGAACATGGGAGACATCGACAACGATCTGGGCGTCAGTTCCGTCTTTGGGGAATCGGTACTTAAACATGCCCGCCCTGTCGGTGGCTCCTAGCTCAACAACCACCCCAGATCCTAGCGATGCCTTGTAGTACCCTACTTCCGTCACATCATCATGCTTTCTGGTGGCTGTAACTCCAAGCATTGGATTGGAAATATCGCCAACCACTGGCATCTGGCTGACGACTCCGTATTTGGGTGCTCCGCCGGTGCCATGTTCGTGGAGCATGGAGAAGCCAGTAAACTCGCCATCGGGCTGGAATCCAGAATAACTGTCTCGTCCATTTTCGAGATCAGGTCCGAGTTTAACCATACCAAATGGTCGTGACACTCCTGGGAAAGCGTTCCCACCTTGTATGGTCCCTGTCTTGACCAAGCGTGTTAATAGCGTGGTGTGGATTGGCCAAGAAATAACACAAGCCTTACATCTGTCAAGACATAGCTCGAAAGGTCGTGGCGTCTTTTGCTCGCAAATACTGTAGCGACTGTGGCTAACAAAAAAAGACCAATGAATAACATGACGATGGCAAAAGAGTGGTGAAAGCTGGCGAGAGGAATATCCGCACAGTGCTGATGGAACCCTTCGCGCCCAAGTTCTCTTATTTGCCTAGGATAGTTGGTGTAGCTCAAGGTTTGCAACTGACCATGCGGCAAATTCTTGTCCCGCAAGCAGACATCAAGACACTTGAAGGCCGCTGAGGACAAGCTCGCAAGATATGCCTGTGCACACAGGTGGGCGCAGTTTCTGTCAGAAGAGAGGCTCGCGAATTTCGTATGATGTTTAGTCGAAGCTTGTGGTTGTGAATTACTCGAAGTATAGACACAGGGTCACAGGCAAGCCAGGTATAGTGGCCGTGTTGTGAGAAGAGGGATGAACGGAGGTACAGCACTACAGCAATAGGGATAGAGGCGACGAGGTAATGTACAAGAACTGGATAAGTTATGGCCAGTCGCGACCGACCGCCCATCAGCCTTGGCCTGATTTACGTCTAGCTACATGAAAGCCAGGCGGCAGTCTGGGCTTCCATGCCGTTTGCCCGTTTCGGCCGCTACATTTTTGTCAAAGACGGGCAGATTGGGAGAGGTTTGGAGACTCTTGGCCTGACATGCCATGCCAGCACACCCACAAAACCGTCAGCCCAGGCTAGACGAAGACGCGGCACTTCCACAACGACAAATCAGGGGGGAAATCAGGTGGGGATTGGGGGCGGGCTGGAATGTTGGTTCTTCCTGGGGGCGGCGTGTAGAGCAGTTGACGAGGCGAGCTCTTTGCTTGTCTCAAGCAGTCCGATCATCGAGCTTCTTGGTCTGTCGGCCTGATACGCCACGTTGTGAGCATCTCAAGAACCCGTGTTGTTAGAGGATTGAAGCCAGACAGAGATTCGGGCTGTGCTTGCTGTGCCGCCGATGACCCTGACGGTCTATTCCTCTTTTCGTCTTGTCCTGCCTAACGTGGTAAGCAACAAGGAGGCTTAGGAGTGAGGAATGCTGAGCGTAAGGAAATACAGCATGAGGCACAGAAACCTGCATCAGTTGGCCCCCAGGCGACCCGAATTTCGCGCCCCAGACGACTAAGCTGACACCAGTTGTGGTTAAAATCGTGGCAGGGCCAGGGGACTGGCCAATAACCTGGCGATGCCGAGACTCCGGAAATAGGGCCAAGATGTTGGCGGTCGAATCCTCCTCTACTCCAGGGCATCGTGACGACCACGTGCCGAGCTTAATACGTCCACCAGGCAATCTGCGGCCCGCGATAACTACGCTATTCGTGTTGAGGCAGGGCATTTGGTTGCTGGACAAGCCTCATAGTCGCTTTGCAGCCAGTTTGCCACTACTTGTGCCCAATTGCTCGCCCAAGATAGCACTTGTGTATGGTCGATGTACTGCTCTGGCCGAGAACAGGTATTCGCAAGGCCTCCGCACAGCCCCGAAACAAGCAGGGTTTAGTAATAAGGCTGGGCCCGCGATGCTGCCGAATGCCGACACGAGAGATCCCGCTTTTCTTTCATTGGGGGCGTCGCAAGGATCAGCTTGCTGATGTGGTCAGGGTCCTCGGCTGGTAGCACACTGAGTCGATGGCCATGACAGCCGTTCGGGTGGCCGTGCAAGCCGTGGTCTTGCTCGAGTCATCACTGCTCTTCTCTGGGGAAGACCGTTCCGAAGCAGCATCAACAACCATTTTATGAGTCAGCTGGCCGGGCAGTGATCTGGGGGATTGCTAGCGATTCGACAGTGCGCTACAGGCGTGCATCACGGTCGGCACATGACATGCCAAACTGTTAACCGCGCGTAAGAGAGCGTGGGTGACTACATCGCCCAGCTGATGGATGGGTATTTCGAAAGGCACGTGATCAAACCTGTTCCAACGGGTACGCGGATAAACCTGACCAATGGCCTGCCCCACTACTTCCCCCCGCCCCCCCCACCGGATTATCTTCCCAACCTCCAGGGTCCAGTCGAATCATCCCAAAATGGGGAGCGGTCAGACAAATTTTGTCGGTCACAGAAGGCAGAATCTCATGAAGGTCCTACTTGCCCGAACCTCATCACCAACAATTCATCACGTGCCGGCATTTTGGGGCTTCAATTCTGCCCCAAGTCGCCTGTCAAGCTGTTCACCAACCCTGCCGTCTGAACCACCTTCCCCTGGTGTGTTCGGAGACCCTCCCGCACCTCGCAAGCGCCATAGTGAAGGGATCCGGCAGAATGGGTCGCAAGCCAAATCCCATCATCTGTGAATACTTCACCCGTGGACCCAAGCTCACCGACTCGAGCAACCGCTACCCGCACAAATGCAAACTGTGCGGTGAGAATTTCCCCAAGGGACGTGGCGAGGCTCTCACAAAACACATCACCGAAAAATGCCCAGCAATCACACCCGAGCAACGCATCAATGCCGCCCTCAACCTCTCTGGCTTGCAGGCCCGCAGCCTTGCCTCTCGCCATCTCAACGACCACGTTCGTGCCAGCAATGGCATCGCATCAGCGAACGAAGCTCCCGAAGCGTGGGACGCCTTGCAGACCTTGGCCGAAGCCTCGCGCCAGGTTGGGGCAACGGAAATGGTCCCTCAGAACAGGAACCTGATCGACCCCGCGATCCAGCAATTCAACCCTCATCATGGTCAGCCAGATCACACGAGCGGATTGGAACTTCAAGAGCAATTCACCCTTGAAAATCCACCCCCTAGCTATGAGCAGCCCGCCCATCGAGAGAAGCCAAACCATATGCACATTGATGACGCTCTCACCAGTTATGAGCTGCCGGATCAGCGCGACAAACGAGGTCAGTTGAGTCCATCTTCTCTGGTGGCCAAACATCGTTGCTCATCTGAGGAACTTATCGAGGAAAATTTTTGAGGACCGAATATGCTAACGAAATACAAGCTGATGAACAGAACGCCTCTACCCTCTTGACGGCAGAACAGAAACTTGAGCACCTTCAAGTGGCAACCCAGCAACAGAGTCATGCTGTCTCGCCCGAGGACTCGGCAAGTCTCAATGCTGCCGTAGCTGCCGTCGCTGCGGCTACCGCACGGCTCAACCACCAGCTGCTTGACGAGAGTCGTGACGGACCATCCAACCAGGAGATTGCTGACGCCCTTGCCTCGCCCATGCGAGAGGTTAGCGCCGAATCTCACCATTCAGGCCCTCCCCACCCTCAGCAGCCATGGGGTGAAATGTCCTATGTTCATAGCAGTCCGATTCCTCCAGCTTCTCTGAACCTGCAGCCTGCTGCTCACATGGTGCAGGTACAGCCCGCACCGCTTTCAATGTCGCCCGTTCATGTTCGAGGCGGCACCCGGATGTCCATCGGCAATGGCGTCCGGAGCGAGCACAAACGCAAGGCCTACAACCCTGTTCGGCGCAAGGAGGTCCAAGCCGCACGCAAGAAGGGAGCCTGCATCAGATGCCGAATCCTAAGAAAGACGTGTGGTCTCAACGACCCTTGTGATCAATGTCGGAAGATTCACGGGCCCCGGCACTGGACATACCCCTGCGTGCGTACTCATCTAAACCAGTCGCTGACGCTGTACTCGGCGGGACTCGTTGTGGTGCTCTCGCAGAATAGAGTCAACCAAGCACGCAGCGCCTTTGAGCTGATTCAGAATGGAACCAAGGTGCGCGTCGCTATATGGAATGATAGCGTCCCCATGAGCCTGTTCGCCTTGGTCACTGCCAGGCCTGCTTCTCCCACCGAGGATTTGAAGACCGAGGAAGAAGCCGCAGAGCCAGCGAAGAAGGATGAAGCGAAGGTCAAACACCAGGCCATCATGATTGACCAGGACAAGGAAGACTTACCGGCTCGCATGGAGACCTATGTCCGCGAGATGCTGCCTTTGCTCATCGAGCGCGAAACCTCTCACTTTGTCCGCGTTGTGCTCGAATTCGCTCAGAAAGCTGAGCAGAAGACTGGCGATCTTGTCACACGTGCCCTCGAACTCTGGGGACTTATCGAGATCCTCGACCACGAGCGCAGCTGGACCATATCTGAGGAGCAGGATGGCAAGTTTGTCGCCAAGACGCCCGATGACGATGGTGGCTCCACGCAGGACCTCTACACGCTCATGACGTGGCAGCTTTCGGCCGCCGCCGAGCGAAAGGCGAACGCTGTGTCGCAGAAGCTTGTCAACGAGCTGCAGCGCTGTCTCGAGAACGGCAAGGTGACGCTGCACTTCGACGTGTACCTCACGATCTTACTTCTCCTTCATTGCCTGGAGAAGACGACCTGGACCATGAAAGTCTGGGAGATGGACGACTTCCGCCAGCGCTGGCCCCTGGACCGCCCGCCTTCTGCTTTTACCACCCAGGGCCAGGAGATTGCTGAGCTGCTCAAGATGCTTCTCGCTCTTCGGAAGGCGCACCCCAAAACGTTTCGCGGACACGGAGGCCTGCTCGAGGTGTTTGAGCCGCAAAGCCAGGCTGTTGCCGACTTTTTCGGCAAGCTGAGCCTGCAGTGTAAGTCTCCGCTCAAGTTTGATGTCCGTATAGCCTGTGCTGACAAAGGCGACAGACGATGAGGTCGTTGACCGCCTCAAGGGAAACTCTTTCACCCCGCGAAGCTCAAGCTCCCTCGAGTTCCAGTTCTCCGGCATAGTTCTGCTCCCGCGGCAGGAGAGTGATGCCGTGGTCGAGCAGACGGCCGTGCCAGCTCCAGACGCAGCTCAAAGGCCGGACCAGGCCATGTCCGGATAGGATGACGAATGGGCCGAGTTCGAAGCCTCGGTAGACGAACTCTAGAACCGCAGGCCTGGGATGTTAGCGATCTCCCGCCCCATGATGATGACCAACGACAATAATGATGTACGATTGAACGAGAATGAATCGCAGCAAGTTGTATAGGAGGAAAAAAGAGCTGTTTCGCTCTAGGCATCCACAAAATTAGATCAGACAGAGCTTAAATAGATACCGGAATCGCCCTCTTCACCGAGGAGTTTAATGAATAAATCGAATTGACACAGGATACTACGCTCGTGACATTCACGCAAGGGCTGCGGGACCTGCCACACAGGGGCCAAACTCTCATCTACAAGTCCTCCCCATAACATTGCCAATCATCAAGAGATCACCAATGGTCGGCCAGGATGCTCATTTCCACCTCGCCCAGAAGACATCCTAGTTCTTTGGCCCGGTGCCGCTCCCGTTCGAGACAGTCGACCCGCCCGTATCCCGCCTCTCGATACCGCCGCCTGGCCCGCCTGCGGGTCGATTCTTGAGCTTCTTGAAGCAGGCAAACTCGCTCTTGCTCGCTTCACGCAGGCGCTTGAGCACGCTTCGCATCTCGGGCAGCTCGCTCTGCAGTCTCGCACGCGCGTCGTTGTCGGTGCGGGCATCGAGTTCCTGATAGATCTCGCTCTGCAATTGAGAGGCGCGGTCCGTGGTATACTGGCTCAGCGTTTGCGCGATAAACTCGACGTCGAGGGTTGCTTGCATGAGGCCGGCGAGAGTGAACCGTTCGTGTGAACGGAAGGCCTCGAGGAGCTCGCGCGTCGTCTGCTCGAGGAGATAGGATAGAACCTGGGAGGCGAGGGCAGGTGCCGTGGTAGAGACTTGAGAGTGGATGAGGACGAGGGTGAGTAGAATCTCATAGACGTAGGGGTTCGCCTCACCGGGCTTGTCGCCGGAAGTGGCCGCCCAGTCACGGGTCGCGATGCCGTTGCGGACGGTGGTGCGGAGGAGCTCGAGGGGAGAGCGTGTGTATGACTGGAAGAGGCGGGCGTCAATTTGTCCCAGGACATCGCGAATCGTTTTAGACTCATCCGTCAGCTTGACGGAGAAGGCGTTCTCGAACTGCGTGTTGAGGCTCGGCACAACTTGAGATCGGAGCGCTTGCAGGTTACTCAGGGTAACAAGCATGCGGATGTTCTGAAAAAATTAGCATGACAGTCCGTACAGATCGCAGAAGAGGCTAAAAACCTACCCGATTGCCTGCGTCGAGGGTGCCACGCCCACCATTTGCTGGAGGCGGCGCAGTCGTCGCGATTGAGTTTTCGGTCTCGGTGGTCCATTCGTCGTCACCCTTCTTCACAGAACGCTCGGCATTTTCGACCATGCCGCTGAGTGCCTTGTACAGTGTTGAGACGTATTGGCTTCGGACCATCTGGAGCAGCTTGGACGGAGGCGGGAGGACAATATCCCCTGCGCCAGGCTTGGCCATGGCCTCGGAAATGTACAAGATCTTCTGCATGCCCGCCAACAGGGCGCCTTCAAAGGTGGCAAAACTGGACGGCATTCTCGTGACATCTCCGAGATCGGGAGATCTGTACCAGTCCTCGACGTACTTGATATTCTCGGCGTCCTTGTTCCAGGCACCGCAAATTGCAGTCGCACACCTCTCTCGAGCTGCTCCAACAAGTGTCCTGAGCCTTTCCAGCGTACTGCCGTCCCCGGCCTGGACTGGGTTGATGCTCGCTAGGTCAGAAGCACCGGATCCTACGAGGGCAAGCATCTTGGATAGGTAGTGGACACCACTGACCGAGTTTGACCATGGCGGCCAGAAGGCGAACTTCTCCCAGGCATCACCCCTCTTGGGAGAGGGCGGCGGGATGTTGTTGACATCAAAATTAAACCGAGGATCGCGCATTGCGTTGGGTGTCAGAGAGCCCGACATGGTGGCTGATTTGGGGGTATTGGGAGACATGGGAAGCGGCGAGAACAGGAGGGAGATGTCCTCTGGAGGAGGGCCCGCGAAGAAGGTGAACACTGTTTCGCGAATCATGTCGACAAGCTCGACCACGCCCTTCCGCAGGTCGGTGACAGCCTGGTCTGAAAGCCTGTGATGCACACGCGATTCCCCATTGTAACCACCAGGTAGTGTTCGTTGGGCTGTGCCATCCACGAAGCCCTGAACAGTGGCCCAGAATTCGACTACTTCGCCGAGGATGCCGGTCGAGGAGAGTAGACTTGATAAGAAGACGACCATTTTCTCCCACAGCTCAATTATATCAGCTGTGTCGAGTGATGACGACTTGTTGTCCACCGTCTGATGTCCCAAAGCTCGGAGGTGTGATGCAATGAGATGCGGCGCAGGCTTCTCACCGTTCGCAAGTCGGCGTCGAAGGACCTCAATCTCAACTTTGGATCTGTCAGCAGTGAGCTGAATTTTCCCCTTGAGGTAATCATAGCGACTTGCGAGCCATAGCCAAATTGGGTTATCCTCAACGCCGAGCTCCAATAGCAAGCTAATCAACTCGATGTGCTGGTCGTGTGACTGTCCAGCAGCCTTGATCTCTGCTTTGGAGAGGGTGTGCAGGGAGATGAGCCTTCTGAAGTTGTCGCGCCTGAACTGCTGGACCTGCTCGTCAACGTCATGCCACATCCTGGCAGCAACCAAGATTTTGTACAGCTGAGTGTCGCTGGCGGCATCGGAACCAATCGACTGCGCCAGGTTTCGGGCTTGATCCGCAAAGCGCCTCGCCTTGTTGTACTCCTCCACCAAGCTTTCGTAGTCCCGTCGTCGGATGCTGTCCGATATGGAGGCACTCAGCTCCACACAGTGTTTGAACTGGTCCAGTTGACTAGACACAATTCTGAGGTTCTCTTCTTTCTCACGCCCTCCAAGCGCTGGTCCCCATACATCCTCGGCTTTGGCCGAGACGTCGAGGAGCGGACCCTTGATGCCCATTACACCGTACTCGCTCTCCTTCACTATGGCGTTCTTCTTTCGTACGTCGACTCCAGGAGACGCCAGTGAGTTGCCAGCCAGTGCCATGCCACCGCTGCTGTTCCGGAAACTACTCCTGCTAGCATGTCGAGAATGACCGCGTTGGTGTCGTCCTGGTGTGGAAGGTGGCTCCGTCCCACGGTACTTCATCTCCCGGTAGACATTATCTATAGTCGCTTTGGCCTTGACGAAGCGCTCAAAGTTTGTTTCTACCAAGACTTTCAAAGAGGCTGACTTTTGGTCGATGGATTGGGAGAGAACGTCAAGACCCATGAGAAGGCTCTGGGTGTCTGCTGTGGCGTGCATCTGCGACAGGAAGAGCGCGGGGGAAAAGGTCGTCGACGAGAGAAGGAAGCGGTTACCTATCACGATTTGATTAGGGGCTTGCTCTCAGATGGCTCGGGGGTGCATCTACTATTGGAAGAACTCACGAAGACGTGCGTCATCTTGAACGGGCACACCAAGCTGGCGCAGTGTCCTCACCACGCTGTCGGTTGTGCCCAGCGGATCTGGCTCATCCTTCTGGACAATGTTCCCTACTCCTCCCTTCTCAGACTGAGCGCCAGGTATGGTGCTCCTGCGGTCGCTCACGGCCCTCTCAAGCGCCTGATATCTGGATTTCCTCCTTCCCAGCTTTGTCTGCTTCTCCTCCTCCGCATCTGATCCGTCGCTGTTGTTCTTCTCGTCTGGCCATTCATTTGGGTATGGATTTGGTAGGCCGTAGAATTCGAGGACGTTTCGCTCGTAGTCAGCCATTTTGTTGGCTTGCGATCAATCAGCGACAGGTGCGGTTCATGACAGGTTGGGCTTGTTGGGCGATGACTGGCGCATTGGGGTGTTTTGCGTGGGCAGGAGAGCCGAGCAGGCGGGCGGTATTGGGGCGACCCGAACAATCACCAACGCGTACTTAATGGGGGAGAGTTGTATCGAAATATTGAAGGTGGACGAGTAGGTATGCGGACGGCGCGTGTCTGCGACTGATGGTCAAGCTCTAAGTGGAGATGAATTGTTAGAGATGGCGACGAGGGGTGTGGATGGAACAGCTTCATCCAGGGCGTTGCTGATTGGCTACCAGCAAGCTTGACTCTGTATTTCCAACTTGGAAGTCAACAAGGCAGTGAGATGAAGCTTGGTATTCTGATTCGAAAAAATACGGGCCGGGCCATTCTGGGAGCAATTGTTTCTTTCTTTTTTTTTGTTTGGTTTTATTCATGTTATTTTTGGTGTTGTCTGATGCGAGGTACCAACCAGGAGCTGTTTCCATCCAGCCTTTCCTTCAGGGCCCTCGAGGTGTACTTGCAGTTGCCTTCTGGTTGGAAAGCCCGCAGGAAGGACGATTTACGGCACCAAAAATATCATTTCACAACACATCCAGAATATGAGCGGCCTCGTGTGGGTAGTAGCCAGTATGAAATGGTGCTTGACCACAAGCAGACAGACAATGCCTGAATGCCCCTCCATCTGCCTCCTGTTTCCTCGTCAAACAAACCTGCGAGGCCAGGCCAAGCCAAGCACAAGAGGGTCGACGCCCCTCGGACAAGCGACTCGCTTACCTAAGGGCAAGGCGAAGACGGGCGCTTTCTCTCTTTTGAGCCGAACACAACCGGAACGAGTCGGGCACGAGGAAGGGAATGCGCCACATGTGGCTGACATCTCGGAATTCGTCGCAGTTTAGGCGGATCGGCTCGGCCTTGCTAATGCCGTCGGTTTTTCGATTTCTCTGCAACCGACCCTCCAGACCAATCCTCCATCTCAGAATCTCGAATCTCGAAAGCTCGATAACGTCCGTCCTCCCGTTCAGCCTTTCCGTCACACGCGCAGCAGCCAGGCTCATCCAATTCCCTCCCAAACTTTCACAATGCTGGCCGCCCGTGCTTTCTCTGCGCCCATTGGCAGGCAGTCCCTCCGCGTCGCGCCCCGCGCCGCTGGCGTTGTCGCCTTCCAAGTGCGCTTCGAATCCGCCCGTCGCTTTGCTGCTTTGCTGACCATTGACCACAGAGGTTCTACTCCGCCCAGGGCGACCGTGTTGCCAAGTTCAACGGTGTTAAGGATGCCAGCGTACGCCTCCCTCTCGCCCCTGGTCCCGCAAAAGCCGTCCTTTGAGCCGAGTAAAATCACTCAGTGGGCTGCGGCGTGGGATACAACGACAACGTGTCTAACAATCGCATAGGGCAAGTACCCCGTCAGCTTGATCGAGGGTGACGGTATCGGTCCCGAGATCTCGGACGCCGTCAAGAACATCTTCGCTGCTGCCAAGGTACGTTCAATTGGGCGAGAGAAGCTTTGTCTGCGCAAAAGCAAGCTAACGCGGTCACCAAGGCCCCCATCTCTTGGGAGCCTATCGATGTCACCCCCATCCTGAAGGATGGCAAGACTGCCATTCCTGATGCTGCCATTGAGAGCATCAAGAGGAACAAGATTGCCCTCAAGGGTCCCCTGGCCGTAAGTCTACAACAGCAGCCATCTGGGCAAAGTCCCGGATCACCGGTCCGTATCTGACATTATCTCCTAGACCCCCATCGGCAAGGGCCATGTCTCCCTCAACCTGACTCTCCGTCGCACTTTCAACCTCTTCGCCAACCTGCGCCCCTGCCGCTCCATTGCTGGCTACAAGACCCCCTACGACGGTGTTGACACTGTCCTCATCCGCGAGAACACCGAGGGCGAGTACTCGGGCATCGAGCACGTCGTTGTTGACGGCGTCGTCCAGAGCATCAAGCTCATCACCCGCGAGGCCAGCGAGCGCGTCCTCCGTTACGCCTTCCAGCACGCCGAGTCGATCGGCCGCAAGAAGGTCCGCGTCGTCCACAAGGCCACCATCATGAAGATGTCCGACGGTCTCTTCCTCAACGTCGCCCGCGAGGTCGCCAAGGACTTCCCCAACATTGAGTTCGACGCCGAGCTCCTCGACAACTCGTGCCTCAAGATGGTCACCGACCCCCTCCCCTACAACGACAAGGTCCTCGTCATGCCCAACCTGTACGGTGACATTCTGTCCGACATGTGCGCCGGCCTCATCGGCGGTCTCGGCCTCACTCCTTCCGGCAACATTGGCGACGAGTGCTCCATCTTCGAGGCCGTCCACGGCTCCGCCCCCGACATTGCCGGCCAGGGCCTCGCCAACCCCACCGCCCTCCTCCTCAGCTCCATGATGATGCTGAGGCACATGAACCTGACCGAGTACGCCGACAGGATCGAGAAGGCCGCCTTCGCCACCCTTGCCGAGGGCAAGGCGCTCACCGGTGACCTTGGCGGCAAGGCCAAGACCCACGAGTTTGCTTCTGCCATTATTTCCAAGCTGTAAAGGACGACGACGACCGACTAGATACTCCACGACGCGCATCCAGGGTAGTACCGTCGTAGACTGTACAAAAACACCTCTTTTTAACGTTAGTATAGCTTTTTCATGAATGGGATGAGCTTGGGTTTGACCAGCCGGTCTGTGTGCGCGCGATTCCGACGTGATCGAATGTATGTTTGGGCGGCGGCATGTGCTGGGCGCAATGTTGTGAGCACGCATGGCCGTTGGTCGTTCCGCACGAGAAGATGACACCCTCGCCCTCGCTTTGCTGCTGTCGGCGCGTCATCTCGATCGCTTCTGCTGCAGGACGAGAAGAATCCGGGGGGCGATCGGCGGCCCGCGAAAGCTTGTCTGCGCCTCCAAGGACGTGGCCGTACATCAGACGTCGAGTGGAACGCAGAGCGGGTTTCTTTGGCCCAAACGCTGCGGCTCAAGCTGTTAGCATCTCACCGACGTGATGCAGCTGGCAGGTGACAGGGATATACGCAACATTTCTTTAATCCAATGCAAAGGGTCCTGGCGGGCTAACATGTAGAGAGCCGTCAACGTCTCCACTCTCAGTGGGGAGGGCTTGATTTCATGTGCATAGCGCACGGCTCTAGTCCAACAGTGTCCCTTTATCCCTCCTCCCGTCTCTCGTCAAACTTCTGAGCAAATGACATGTTTTGCTGCTTGAACATGAAGCGTAGAAGCCACGCTTCGACTTGGAATATCCACCTCGTACTTTGCCAACGTACAAAAAGCATATGGCCTGTTCAAACGTCATGCCGGAGCTTAGCCACGTTGTATACTCGAGAGGGAGACGGCAGAGGGCGTTCAAGATACTACGCCAACTAGTTACCTTGTGTCGCCGAGAGGGGTAACGGTGAAGCCCATGGCGCTTCAATCTGCTACTTTGCCGACTGGAAGATCCTTGGAAGCTGTCGGCCTTGTGTGTGGAGGGTCATAAGGTTCTCACGCAAGTTTTAGAGTGTGGGGTTTCGTGATATCATGTTGTTCATTTGTCTTTTCTTGACGACCTGGACTGCTGTATGGAAATCCTAGATAGCCCAGTATATTTCCCGCGGCAAGTCCCCGAGGAAGCCTACAGCTAGACGCAGGAGAATCAAGCAGAATGGAGCAAAGTCGTTGGTACCTGGCATATTACTGCTATTTCCAAGGTTCTCAAGTTACAGTTTCGTCGGCATACCTTTATTCCGATTAGCGACGTGGATATGACCGGTGTCTGGATGGGTGACCACCTGCCAGACTACCTGGCGACGCTACAGGAAGCATACCAGCTGCATGGGTTGACTGAGAATAGCTCTGGTTGTTACCGCTTGGCAGCGTGCCAGCCTTTCTCCAAAGCTGTCTGTCACTACCGATGCGACGGTAGTCCACGGAAGCATTGTGTCACATGGTACCTCCCCGCGATGCCGACGTCAGCACCGAACTCGTACTGGAGACAGTTGTCTTAGACCGTTTGACAATGTGTCTGTGGCCGACTCTACACGTTTCTTCTTCTGTCGTGACACTTTGCAGTCAGCGTCTTTGATTCGGGCGGGTCATTCAGCAATAGAGCGAATGTGGGGGACAGAGGAAGCTAGTCATGCGTCCGACTGTGGCCCAATGACGATGCTTCCGGTCGTCGGGACGCCTCGCAGGTAATCACAATCAGTTTGGTGCACTTTGCTCGGATCGAACGGCTCCCAACGTCGCACAGTACAGGTGCGTGTTGAGTCGGCGGAGGCGGGGGGTTACGGGACGATCTGGCGCGCAGTGGCTTCGGAGAGTTCAAAGCATATTGCGCCTTATGCTCATCGGGAAGCGTCAAAGACACGTCTCCCCCACGTTTTTGTTTCAATTCGAGTCACGGCACGTTGCTTGCATCTTGTGAGGATTGGCCATCGGAAAACGACACGATAACACGTTGTGATAGTGGCGTTGAGACCCGGCACCGACATCCGGTTTGGAGGCTCAAAATGATCGGTCAGACAAAGACCACGCGACCCTCCGCCTCGCATCCACCGCGATCCTGGGAAATGAGGCAAATGAGGACCACTGTCGAGCCTCGGTTTCGACCCATTACTCAGGGCGTGCGATGACCGGTGTCGTCGGGGGGTTCCAGAAACAAATAATGGATCAGAGTCAGCCAGGGTCCTCGATCCTCGGTTTCGCACCACAATCCTGACCCAGTGTCATCGTGGGGTCTCCTCGGCACATGGTGCCGGCGGCCGGGTTTGGACCGGGAGTGGTGTGTGGGCCCTTGACCGGCGCGAATGCGATGGGCTGGCTTCAGTGCGTGTGGGGGGGACCCTCATCACGGAAATGCCTCGCGTTTCCCGTCGTGTCCGACCTCGTCGCATCTGTCTCCTTGCCGTCGTTGCCGCGCCATTGACGGCATGCTGGCTGGAGGTTGGGGTCATCGTTGGAGGTCGGTGTAGGTTTCGCGAGGCGGTCTTCGGGCCGTTTGAGGCGACAGTCGTGTAGGTACCTAGGTATATATGGCTGCTTTTCCAGTCTCACAACTTTATCAAGACAGCCTTCTTCGTCCACTACATTCTGTCCATCGCCAACATCTGCATCGAGAGTCTTGTCATATACCGTTCACAGTCATCAAAGTCGTCAACCAAATTCTCCAACGCCATCCCTACCCTTCAACATGCCTGAGAAGCAGACCCGTCTTACCCTCGCCATGGAGTCTGGCATCCCCTTCGTCCTCAAGGCCGGCAAGGCCAGGTACACATGCCGCCTGCAGGACCGCTCCTCATAGTATGTACCAGCCTAGTTCAACGCTCGCCAGAGCAGTATCTGACTTCGTTTCAGCCAGCGCGCCAAGGCCCAGAGGGCGTCTTCTTCTGATTCCATCAACACCGAGTCGACCGACGGCAACTCGACCTCTTCTCACTAGACATCGTCTGCCGGGGTTTTCATTATTATTGCAGCATGGCGTTATAGTGGCGTAGCAACAGATATCAGGTTGGGTTGAACGGCAAGAGGTATGCCAGGGGCGTCAAGATCGCTCTAAATGGACTATGAGCCACCATTTCACACGACGTTGAACGTGGAAATATTTGAAAGTCCAATACAAACTGAAGCAAGAACCTAGAACAGACTATTCTGGAGCTTCTGTCATCAACCTTTTCACGTCCGCGCAAGTGATTCATCATGGTCCATCCTTGTTTGTCAGGTCTGAGGTTGGTCATCATCAGTATCTCGAGGAGCAGAATATTGCTTGATATGGGTAAGGAAACTCATGGTACTATTTGACATCTAGCAAAGGAAGACAGCTCGAACCTCTCGTGCAAACCTCGGACAGGGACCTCGAGCAAGCAAAAGGTATCGCAACCGATCGTCGCTAAACATGCATCACTAGGCCTTGTTGGCAAAAGATATCGCTGGTCAGTATGAGGGTCGAACTCATGACCTTGGCATTATTAGTACCACGCTCTAACCAACTGAGCTAACCGACCAATTGATGTTGGAAGCCGGAAATTGGAAGCATGTTGTCGACTCTGGTCATTCTTGTGGGCATATTCACGATCGTGAGGTGGGGCCTTAGGACGGAAAGCAGTGAGATCGTGGGCTACCTTAGGTGGGGAGGCTTCGCCACAGATCGGGGGTTGAATCTTATCGGAACGTGGGCATGTTCCAGATGACTTTGCTGTAAGATGTGGGGCGCCAAATCTGCAGCTGAGGCCTTGGCAGGTTCTAGAAAAAGTAGCCCCCCATGGAAAGGATGGAAAGGGGCACGAAAGAAGGCACTCGGTGAACAATAGCAGGTTGGGATGGCGTCCTACGAATGAATAGTGCACCACGGCTCATGCGATGCACCCGGATCAAGAGTCGTTTGGTGCATTAGCTCATCCGGGGTCGGAAGCCGCCAATCTCGACTTTGATCAGCCTTGGTGGACGTACCATGTATACCACATTCTGCCTACTTCCCGCACGTGTCAGAGCTACCTGTAGCAGCCTGCCGCCTTCACGACTGTCTCTTCGACTGTCAATAACCTCAATGTTTCAAAAATGTGATAACCTCCTCTCGCATGTTTTCTCAGCTGCGGAATGGTGGTTTCTCTGAATCATGAGCTTTCTCTGGGTGACCCACTCACAAGAAGCAATCCTTCAACTGGTCGGTTAGCTCAGTTGGTTAGAGCGTGGTACTAATAATGCCAAGGTCATGAGTTCGACCCTCATACTGACCAGCGATATCTTTTGCTCGAGTCTGTAATCATCAGACCCCCTTTTTGCGAGACTATCTCAACTTCAATGCTATATTCCATTTCTTTGGTTGTTGTTTGCAAAGAGGCGTTGTGAGCCGTCAGGCTCCAGCGTAGCTTTGTAGGCACACTGCTAGAAAAGCGGAGACCGTACGTAAGCAGATGGCGAGTCTTTCTACCTCGCTGAAGGCAGGCTCCTGCGCTGCTGTGCCTCCCTCTAAGCACACCGAGACCGGTACCTTGCAAGAAGCCCAAGACCGACTGATTGTCGAGCTCTCAACCCCCTACACACCCTCCTACATCGCATCACCGACCCTCCTTCGAGACAGGCCCAGTATGCCTCTTCCCGTCGCAGCGAAAGGTGAGCAGATATGATCATATGTTCGCGAGCGCATGCCCCTTGCAGAGATCAGCCGTCCCGAGCACCAAGTAGTCGCTACCCCGCTGTCATGCCGCTGCTCTCTGGTGCTTGTCTGTTGGGTCTGCTGCCTAAGGTGGCGGGACGGGGGGGGGGGGGGGAAAGGGTGGCGAAAGCCATCGCTTGACCTGTCTTGGTCCATCCGGGCAACCACTGGATTGACCAGAATCGTCCACGCAAGCACCTTCTGTTTCTGTATTCTTGGGTTTAACTGAACCCCGAGCTTTGTTTCGGGTCTTCCTCCCCCCTTTGCACCCTTTGAACTTGGGGGCCCACTTTGACTCATTCCCCGCCGGGCTTCTTCCCA